ATCAGAAGCATGATCAACTTGATACCTTTTTGAGAGTCGACTTTATGCTGGAGTTTCATACCCTCTAGCTGCATGCAGCGCCCACCAGAAATCCTCAGATTACTGTGTGATAGAATCTCCTGGAGGCCCAACTTCCATCTCCCAAGGACTGGGATTTCTCCACCGCTTCTTCAGGACATGGAGCCTTTGACCCTGCCTTTGAGGGCACCAAGCCTTTCGAGTACAAAGGCGACGTCGACGCCTTTCATCGACGCAACGATTTCGTCGCTTCTTCTGAACGGGGAGAGAAGACATGTCACTCTTCACGGGTCGCCATTCGGGTCGCCATTCGGGTCGCCATCATGACGCCACGAGTGCACTGAGAGGTGGTTGGGTCAAGCAGCTCTTGGTGGATCCGTTCGGCTAGAGGTGTTTGTTATTGTTTGTTGTTTCTGTTTCAATATTAATAAAACAGTATAAAGTATAGTGTTGTACAGTAATTATATAGAATCTCTTGTTATTCTTGTCCAACACTTCGTGACTTTGTTGGTATGTGGTGGTTGTTTCTCACTTCACGCAAAATGGATCAAAATGGCCAACCACCAACACGTGCAAAGGCGGTTTTGCACTAAATCAATCTAAATCAGTGAGAGTCACAGAGAGTCCTGGATGTGGGAATGCGCACATAGAGTCCCGTTTCTTCAACATGATTTCGACGTTCACGCCCAGACGGCGCCAGGGAAGGTCTACACCATGGCACCCAACGGGGTGCTTTTCGACCCGCCCAATCAGGCGGAAAAACTGCCGGTACGGGGACTGCTGAGATCGTTTTGATGTTTTGTATATATATGTTGCGGTGTGTGTTTGGAACATGAGGACCCAATGCGCTTTCCTGAGTCTATGTTTAGCCTATTCCGAGAAATCTTTTTGGGGGGAGTGCTTATTCTATAATGGGATTGTATATAGCGTGTGGGTGAATACGAAGCCCGGGGCCCACAAGCTAGTAGGCAAGTTGCCACGTAGTAGGCACATGACGTGAAGCAAAAGAGATGGTTGATCGGAACCATGGAGTCTATTCTTGATTCATTTTCCTCGGTCATGTCCCTGTTTTCATCGGTTTTGGTCTCAAGCTTTGGGGCCCGGAGTATCCGATGTCAAGGGGGCACCCTATAGTGCTTTTGCATATCAAAGCGAGGAGAAACACATGCTTTCATCATCCATCCATAGTCCTTCCTTTCTTTGCTGAAAGGTGAAGGGAAGTGAATGAATTGCTGTCACCCGATGAGCACATGCTTCCCACATGTATACATTTGGTCAATTTTGCTCATACAATAGGCAAATTGCCATGATTTGGCATCTCTCTTGGCTCATATGCTATGGGAGCACGGATTCTTCTTTCTTCAAAATGACGATTGGACTCGCGCGATGGACACGGTCCTGTGAGGTGCCCATGGGCATTTGGAATCCCGACACGCAGCGTATGGATGCCCGTTTGGGCTACCGCTGTTTGCCCGGATTCTGCATGGATGCCGTTTCGAGGGTTTTGGCCATACTGGATAAGCGATTGATTTACATAAGATCATTTGTGATAGAACGTGCAATAGTACCTCGTGTTTGGAAACGGCGAGTTCTTTAGCAACAGAATGCAATATCTTTGTTTTCAGGAGAATGCAATGTTGCGCGTTGGTCAGAAACGGTGCTTGCAACTATGTCACCATTTCGATCCTTTAACTACGTTTGCAGCACCAGAAAGGATGTTTCCCCAGTCCCATTTGGAAAACCAATTGTTTCTGTGTGTTTCTGGGAAACCTGGGCAGACCCTCAAGGGGACCCCGACCAAGGCCTAGACCCCGCCGCTGGCATGATGCCGGGCTGTCCCTACCCGGTGCGCCGACCATGCCGTCGGGAGGATCTCCCGCTTGACTGGGTGACACGTCCCGGAAAAAGAAACACGTGAGACATGTCGGACATGGTGATGATGAAAACACCTTTGATGAACACACCATGTGGTGTGTATGTACCAGTTGGAGATACATCGCTTGTTGCCTCGGGTCTGATCGGGTCTTGACACACACGCAGTTGTCTCAGAGAATTAGATCGCCTTAGTAATTAGGGGACCTGACACTGAGTAGATCGCGTAGTTGCATAGTTCAACCATCTCAGACGAAGATGCTGTTTCACCAAATGGTTTTGTGCCATCCAGACCCATCTATTCTAAAGTCAGCATAATTTCAATGCTTTAGGACATGGTGAACTACGTCTATATAATTATTATGGTGGTATGCCTCCTAAATCCGGCCATTAAGCCACCCTGGCCCAGCAGCTGTGACTGGAGGAAGTGCTAAGTGCCAGAATCCATGATGTTCTGTTGATGCTGATTGAAACTTGAGTGGCTTGATTCGGCTTGAATGGTTCTTTCTCAGAGGTACCCAATATCAACCCCTGCATACCCCCGCCGAAGCATCAGGATCCATTGCTTCAAGCAGGTCCAATGTTTCCACAAACTTGTGCTGTTTCATGGTGAAAGTGTAGGGAGACCTTTTCTTTGTTGACCGGGAGACTCGCTTGGAAGGAAGGGTGTGAGGCATCAATAGACAACCCCAACGAGAAAGAGCCACGCTTTTGTGCACCACCCGCGCAAAACCGGCGGCTGCATGTTGGAAGTTTAGACGCACGACAAGCACGCTGTAGTGTGAACTGACGCCCCACTACCTGCGACGCCAGGCAATTTCCTATTTGGGCCGAACCTACATTTTGCTTCCCGACCAACGCTTGTGACTTTGGCTGCGCACAAAGCTTTTGACTGGGCAACATCCAGTTATCAAGTGATCGGTTAACTGAACGTTCCAAGTACAGTCGATGAGCATGTTTGGTTTTAACCGACTGATTGGCCAGTTGGCCAAAAGTTGTGCACTTTTGATGACACAAAGTGGTTTGACTCCAATACCTGTTTGATGATTCCCTTTGGTTCCAAGACCAATGCTCCAGCCACCCTTAGTGCCCAATTCGGGTGGGCCAACCACTGAAGTCACTGGGAACACCAGCTTGACAGTTAGTTTTACCAAGACTCAAACATGAATCAACGAGGAAGCCCGGAAGCTTTCTAGTGCAATTGGTGCTTCCAGTGTCGTTGGAGTCATCGAAAGCTGTGTATCATCACTCTTTCTTCGACCCTCGACCTGACCCGAATGCAATAGGTGAGCTATGGTGAATCTTCAATGGCACCATTTTTAGGTCAAGACCCACCTGGGGAACCTGTGGGTCAGGTTGCTGTTTTGTTTCAGTCATTTTTCCACAAGGTCACTGGCTTGGAGGATTTGCATCGATGTTCGTGCCTTGCTGTGGCTCTTCTCACTACGTACACTGAGTGGGTCCAACCGAGTTCATCTTAATTAAGGTTGGACCCCGAGACCGAACAGGCGAACTGGGACGGGTGAATTCCGCGGAGGGGGTCAGACTGCACGGTCCAAAGACCCTCCCCATCCAAGTCTTCCTGGACACAGGCTGTTCATGTCAAGTTCTGTGGAGAATCAAATTGAAGCTACATCGTTTGCAAGGACTTCACCGAAGTCTAGCGTCCGTATAGGGTCCATGCACCATTTGTTTCATGTTCCTTTACAAAGCTTTGCAGACCACCTGCGGGCTCCATCATTCAGCTATCCCGATCCAAAATCAATCACCCACCACTCCGAGTTGAAGGTGCCTCCTCTCGTCACATGTCGCAACTCAGGATCACCCTCATGTCGGTCACTGAACTCTGTGTCCGTGTCCGTCAAGACCACGGCCGGCACCATCTCGTCTTCGCGCAGATCGTGGGCACCTTCAACCGTGAGACGAATGAGATGGACTTGACCGACCCAAAGCTTCTCCAAGAGGCCGGATCGGGCATGCCCGGAATGAGATCAGCTGGTCCATCATTTGAGATCGGGCCATGCGTGGTCGATCGAATGTCTCCAGAGTGCTAGATGAGTCATACACATCGGAAAGAAGACCAGATTGAACTCTGGTTTGGGGTGATTGCAATCCTCACCCCAAAACACTTAGGGGTGCCCTAGTAAAAATCTCACTTACGTGGCAATACCTTGACCTTCTGAGGTTGAGTTTCGACCCACCTGTGAAATCACTTAGCGGCGCCCCCAATCCGCTGTTCATTCAGGGTGATAAAGAGCCCGATGCTCTGCAGGTGAGACAAACGATGCAAGGGGCATTGACGCCAGCAAATCTCCATTATGTTTTTTTGGTTTGAAGTTGCAGGTTCTACTTGAAAGTCTGAACATAAGCAATTTGTTCAAAAAAAGAACGCAACCTACCCATGCACACACCAACTTGCGGACACGTCCAAGTCACACCCCTAACAGCCCTTCCACTTCGTGGGGTACTCTAGGGTGAAGATGTACACAGACAAATATGGTAACAAAAACATGCACAAACTACCAGAATCATGTCCTTGGAGACAGCCGTTGCCCATGAGGGTCCATGGTGCATCCGTCGTGCGGGATAATCGTGTGGCTTCACCGATGTACGGCTCAAGCTGCTGATGTTCTCAGCAGACAGAGCCATTTCAAGCTGAGAAGATGTGGAGTTGGACCAAGCAGTGGATCCACCAGGTGTACCTGAATCATCCTGAATCTTGCGCCCGGACCGCCCCGATTCTTCAACATGCAGACGAAAAGACACATCTCTTGAAGCGATGGGGATGGGCACACATTCTCCGGTCAACCCAAGTGCTTTTCCTATCCCAGCAGCCTCCAGAATACTGCTGAACAAGTTGCAAACAACTCGCACTGAAAAACAAGAAAGCGTGAAAGAAGAGAGTCCAATACTGTTTAAGTCTATATAATGTCATTAGAATATGTGCTGTTCAGACGTGAGAAAAACACACATGCAAAAGTGTAGAACATCTCCATCCAAACTCCCACACCATCCCAGCTTTGCAAACGCAGACTGAAAGCAGACGGGTATAGACTTGCCAAGACAGGACACCCTTAAATTCAGGGTGTCCAATCAATTGCACGCCTGCCATGGCGGACATTGACAAGGAGATCTTTCATGACCGTCACTTTGAGGCCGCCGACAGTCCAAAGAGCCACGGTCCAGTTGGTTTGAAATGACATGGACCCACCGGTTGGCCCCTTAAATTGCATAAAATCGGCAAGTGTTTTTGTTTTTTTCCCCTGAGGGCGAAGATGGAGTGAGCAGACCATGTTTTGGTGTATCTGTATATATCATTGAATGAGTCAAGCTGAGGAGAGGACAGGTGCAGCAGCGAACTAGTCCCGGTCGTTGGGTTGCCTTTCTGGTTTGCGAAAGAAAACACATATAAACATCCTAACAAATATACAAATCATGAATCCTCGAACATCAATGAATTCATTAGGCACCTTCTTGGTCTGGGTCCCAGACATGTGAGGCCTTGGCCGCCTTGGAGATGAAGCCCAAGGAATTGGCTCCGAATCTGGAGAAATTGGAGAAATTGGAGAAGGGGAAATCATGGGAAATCCACAGATCCAATTGTGGAGAGTCTGGACGGCAAAAGATTCCTCAATATTCCTCATGTTTTTGTTCTACATGGTCGTTGTAAACTTCGAGGATGGGGGAGAGTAGCTGGCCAAAGAACAGTGTTTGATTATGTGCGAGCTGCGCGGAAAGTTGTTAAGTGAGACTTGGGGTATTGGGAAGAACAGTCCTTCCAGTCTTTCCAAATTAAATGAAACATATTCTTGCCCAGATGGGATCTAGATGGATCTAGGTCTAAAAGGTGCACTATGAGCAGACCACCTCTCACGTTTGCGCACATTCAATATATTTCACATTGTTTAACCATTTGGAATGTCGCTGTCTTTCTCTGATCTCCAAAAAGACGCCTCTGATCACCATCGCCATCCACCGTCCCATTCTGCCAACGTGGCGCCTTCGACCGGAACACGCGAAGACTTGCGCTGGCAGGACTTCACGCAGCAGGTCGAGCTGCATTTGCCGGGCTACACCGTGGCTGGGACTTGAAAGGGTGACTGATGTATACTAGGAACAAGGACGCTACTAGGGGCTCCTGGCATCGCTACTAGGAGCAAGAACGCTACTAGGGGCTCCTGGCCGTACTACTAGGAGCAAGGACGCTACTAGGGGCTCCTGGTATTAATAGTAGGAGCAAGGAGCTCCTGGCCTTACTACTAGGAGCAAGGACGCTACTAGTAACAAGAAGCTAACATCCTGATCATCTCGGCGTTTGATCTATCTCCCGTGGCCTGTTTGGCCCGGACAGACGGTCTTTATAGGCTGAGCGAACACTGGAAACCTCATGGTGTTTCCTTTGGATCTAGGTCACCAAAACCGAATGGTTTCTAGCAGGGGGGGTCTTCAAGTTTGTCCTCGATAAGGGAGGTTGTTGCAGTTCGTCGTCCTACTACTCGTGTTGCTGCGGAACAGCTTAGGATGCTTAGGACTCTGATAGTCACAACCATCCTACCTTTCAAGGGCCACATTGAGACCAGAGGCGTTTACTTGCCAGTTGAGTCAATGCATGTGAATGAATGATTTCCGGTTCCAGGCATGGCCTTTTCATGTTGTGTCTGATTTCCACCATTCGGCTTTGCCTCTGCCTGTGGGGTTTGTTCCAGTCCCAGCAAAGCCTTCACCTGTGCCTGCCTGTCCCGGACAAAATCCTCCTCCCAGCAAGGCGTTGCCAATCTTGTATGAAATACCAATGCACCGGGTCTTCACTGATTCCAAGACAGTCCACCAGGCTCTCTTGTCCATCAACCATATGCTACTTCTACTCCTTCTACGGGTGTAGAAGCGTCAAGTCCGCTCGTGTGTCACTTCCCCGCAGGAAAAGAAGCGCCTTCTTGATGGCCTCAAGGCAGCAGATGCGATGCGCTGACGAGTCCCAACTCCAATGTGAGAATCAAATTGACGCACCAGGCATCTGCTTTTAGCTCCAAATCCTACGCAACAACTGGAGCAAACCCTTGGCGCTGGAAAGAATTGGCATGAGATGGCAGCTGCTCAAATCAAGGGGTGCTTTGTTCTCTCTTCAGGCAACGTTACATAATATGAGGTTTTGTGTATTAGCAATAAAGTACGTAGCAGCACCTCTTGCGATCGCAGCCCTGTGTAGGAAAAGAGTTCTGCCACCATGTTTTTGGCCAAGCAGCTCGCTGCTTGGCCAACTCGGTAGAGCAGAGCAATACCCTCCCCCCAACGGAACATGGCCCAACCAGGAAGCTCTACCGAGAGGTGATTTTCCAGCTCCTTGATTGTGTTTTTCATCGGACGTTGTCGGATTATGTCGGATTGGATCTGCTTCGGCTGAGCACTGGGACCTGCTGAGCAGGACTTTTTGACCAAAGTGACGGCCGTTGAGGAGAAGCTTTACATGGCCACTGGGATCATGCTAAGACCGCTCAGGTGGCAGGGGGAATAATACCTAGTTCATCCAAATCTTACAAAAGGCATGGAAAGGCTTGTCAGGTCCTTCAGACCAAGTTTTTACCGAATCTTGCCGCACCAATCCGGGTGCGCTGCATAGGCTGAGGTAGGCCTTTGTGACGAACCAACCTCCTTCATCCTCCAAAGAAACAAGCTTCCAAGATAATCTAATTGTATCGAATGACTTATACATTATTAATATTATATATGCATCTATGAAGTTCAATACATGCTACAGGGCTACAGGGTTTCTTGTTTTATTTTGGGGTAATTTCCAGTTGCTTGGAGTAGTCTCATTTTGCCCACAGCCAATCAAGCTTCAAGATCATTTTCCCAAACTTCACCAGTACCCCTAGACTTTCCTCCTGCGCAGAGGTAAGTACTCCTATACGACTAATTCCAGAACTCAAAAAAATAAAACAAAAAACCATTGAACTATAGTGTATTACAAAAATTATGTCATAGAACCGACTACCCCACAACTCCGATGCCTAGGTCGACAAATTGGGCATCCCCTTCGCTCAGAAAAAAAAAGAAAATCACCCTCATGGTCTCAAGTTGATTGATCTGATAAAAAAGGGAGAACATGACATAGAAGAATACATACATTCAGCAAACATGCTTGCTCTCTAGAGCTTGTTCCAGGGATTACAAAGTAGAGAGGCTCCGAAGCCCAATGCTCACCTTCATCAGCGATCCCTCTAGGAATCTTGATGTTCGTTGTGGCTGGACCATGGAGTAGAAGGTAGAGCAACATCCGTGCAATCTCCGAATCCTACATGAAGTGTGTCTATTGTCAGCTCATGTCAGGTCTAAGTATTATAATCTATATAATAGTCATATCTAGTCCGTTGCCAAAGGCCGTTCAGATGTCTTTCAGCCACCCCAGTTTCGGCCTTCGGCCTTCGGCCTGCGGTGAGTCTCGAGATCTGAGACTGTCCTTTTTCCGAGATCGTAAGGTGAAAGCCGTGGGAAAGGTGAAGGGCAAGATGGAAGATGAGGACTCACCGTAAGCTGAAGATTCGGATGAAGGGCCGGTCCTACCGTGTCATAACGTTGAAAAGGTGAAACGTCGTCCAAAACGTCGTGTGGAGGCTACGTGTGTCCATGTGTGGCGCACGAAGCCAACCACGAGTCTGGTGGGACCAGACCGGTCGATCTCATCGATCTGTCCGTGCGGATGCTGCGAACGGCTTGGTCTAGAGCCCCCTTTCTCGGAGCCTCGACCCTCGTATCTTGGGTGAAAAGATCAAGCTTTCGGCTCAGATCTCAAAACAACGATTTTGAGATTCATGGCGTTTATGGGTGTGGCCATCATCAGCATTCAGATCTTCCAGCTCTTGCCGTGTGTGCTGGCTTCTTGTTTCTCCGATGGGATCCCAGAAGAAGAGTGGCTCCGCGTGCAATTGGCAAAAGTCAGGGGGTCTCTCCAAACGATGTGGGTGGGCCCCAATGTAGGTGTTTAGACGACTGCAGATACTCGTCCCCAAAGATATTTAAAAGGGCTTTCCCTTTTCCACTTGCATGCGGGTGACCCTGAGCTGTCCCAGGTTTGCAGGATAATGAGTCAATGACAGGGATCACAGTCCATCCGACCATATGCTATTTAGTTGGAGATGTTTGTCTGAAGTACGTAAGATTCTGGGCTTGGTAGATTTTCTCAATGACCCTGGGACAGGAAACGTAGGGAAACGTCACGTGTATGGTCATGTATGGTCAACCATGATTATATCGATGTTATTTTGCAAAAGCCGTCTTTCGCAGCTTGAACAACTACTTAAATCATAATCCACGATTGCATTGGACTTACCCAACAAACATGGAAGTGGATGGCATCACCCCTTGGTTTCGACTTTGTGTTTCACATCAACACCGTGTGAGACCCTTACAGTGAAGAGGCCCGTTGACTCCAAAATGGTCACATCAAGCTCTGCACGCAGCCCGTTGAGGCGCAAAAACCTGGTGAATGACGATGGAGCGTCATACCCTGTTGGCCACTGGATCAATGCCTGGGAGGCTGGCTTCGCCACAGCCGAAGTGGCTGAGATTTTGCTGAAGGACACGGTCGCCGCAGGTGGCTTTCGTGCAAAGTAACACACTGTGCCAAGTCGTCGCCGTCGAAAGTACCCATCAGCCTAACAGGCTGATCTGATCGGGTTTGATCGCAGGAAAAGCTTGGCTACAACGTGACCAAAAAGGGGCCTGGTGCCAACACCGTGGATGGCTTTTATGCCATTGCCGGCTGCCACATGCCACAGAACATCACTGACCGCGGCTGTGGGCCCAGGATGAGGACCTACGTCCACTTTGCTGTGGAAGGATGGACTGCAGGTCGGGCGAGGGTCGGATGGTAGTTTACTGCAGATCGGGCAGTTTCGCAAACTGAAAGACGACCCAGTCCGACACGAAACTTTGACTTTCCTCGCTAGTAGGTTGGAGGCCATTGCTATTAGGGTGGAGGCCATTCTATAATTACAAACAGATTGGAGGCCATCGCTACTAGGGTGGAGGCCATCGCTGGGTTTGAAGGTGCAGTAAGTCTTCAGCTCTTTGTGGCTCTCAGGCTATCCACAGGTTTGGGATGAGATTCAGGAAGCTTATCCAGCAACAGCTCCAAGGAATCCGCGGATGT